GCTCAAGTGGTAGAGTGCTAGCCTTGAGCTGAAGAGCTGAGGGACAGCGCCCAAGCCCAGAGTTCAGGCCCCATGACTGGAGCAAAAAAAAAAAAAAAGTCATAAAAGTCGTTTTTAGTGGGTCTGGGAAGTTGGCTCAGTGGTAGAGCGCTTGCCTTGCATGCCTGAGGCCTTGGGTTAGATTCCTCAGCACCATATAAGCAAAAAGAAAAAAAAAAGCCGGAAGTGGCGCTGTGGCTCAAGTGGTAGAGCGCTAGCCTTGAGCTGAAGAGCTGAGGGACAGCACTCAGGCCCAGAGTTCAGGCCCCACAACTGGACCCAAAAAAAATAAAAATAAAAATAAAAAAGTCGTTTTTAGTGAGACACAAAGTACCGTTAGTGAGCATTTTTGTACAGGCTTTTCCAATGGTGGGTCTCCCCTGCGCCACCTGCCGGCTTCCCTGAGCGACTACCTTGTGTGTGAACGGTGTCCGTGCACCAGCACCTGTACCACGGGGTGGGTAGCGGCCAGAGACCGCTCCAGACCTTCCCAGCAAGAAAGCACAACCCAGCCGAAGCTGGAGGCAGAGAGCAAATGGCACAAGACAGGCACTAGGCCCTGGCCATCGCCTTCCACCCACAGGTCTCAGGCGGGAAGAGCAATGGGGCTGTCAGGTGGGAAGAGCACTGCCGCCCGCACGGCAGGGCTGTGCCAATCTCATGGCGTTCCCACTTACCAACCGGCTCAGGTCACTAAAAATGGTGTCCTCATTTCTGAAAAAAAGCTAGGCTAGAAAGCCCTCCCAGCGCAAGGCACACACCGTGGTGAGGACAGGGTCTGTGGAGTCAGCACAGACATTAGGACGTCAGGAGACCACCTGGAGATACGCCTAGAGCATGCTGATGTTTGCTTTGTCTTCTGTTTTTGTTGGTCATGGGGCTTGAACTCAGGGCCTGGCGCTGTCCTTGCGCTCTTCAGCTCAAGGCGAGTACTCTACCGCTTGAGCCACAGCACCACTTCTGGTTTTCTGGTGGTTTATTGGAGGTAAGAATCTCATGGACTTTCCTGCCCAGGCTGGCTTTGAACTGTGATCCTCAGATCTCAGCCTCCTGAGTAGTTAGGATGACAGGCGTGAGCCACCAGTGCCCGGCTGCTGTCTTCTGAATGGTATAAAACCATACAAACCAAGTACTCCATTGGGAAGACTTCACATAATACAAGAGACAGAGGGCAGGTGCCTACTGCAAGGCTGAGGGCTAGAGGGACGGCTCAAGTGCTAGAGGGCCAGCCAATGAATGAAAGCTCAGATACCAAGGCCAAGTCCCAGTCTCAGACAAAAAGCTGCAAGTGCAACTGTAGCTCAAGTGGTAGACCACTAGTCTTGAGAGAAAAAGCTAATGGACAGTACCCAGTCCCGAGTTCAAACCACAGAATCAGTATCAAGGGAAAAAAGAAAAAAAAAAGGCCAATTAAAAGGCTATGTAGCCGGGCACCAGTGGCTCAGCCTGTCATCCCAGATACTCAGGAGACTGAGATCCGAGGATCATGGTTCAAAGCCAGCCCTGCCCGGAAAGTCCGTGAGACTCTTATCTCCAATTAACCACCAGAAAAAAATGGAAGTGGCGCTGTGGCTCAAGTGGTAGAGCACTCGCCTTGAGCTGAAGAGCTGAGGGATAGCGCCCAGGATCTGAGTTCACAACCAACAAAAAGAAAAGAAAAAAGACTATGTATGTATATATATGTATGTATATATAGCCTCACACCTATAATCCTAAGATCTAAGGATTGTGGTTCAAAGCCAGTTTAGGTAGTTCAGGCATTGTGGATTGTGGTAGAGCACTGTCCTTGGGCAAAAGAGCTCAGGGATAGCACCCAGACCTTTCAGTTCAAGTCCTAGGACTGACAAAAATAAAAAAGGGATTGTTTTTTCAACTAATCATCACCATGGGATGCTATCACAAAAAGACAAACACCACCTGCCTTTTGTTGAGAGGCCCAACGCACTTCAAATTAAGCTTGCAAAAATAAAAGGTTTTCATTTGGTGTTTGGGCTTGAACCCAGGACCCCACCTAGTAAGCAATGGGCCCCAAATAAAAACTGTACAATGTTAATGAAAGGAAAAGACAGGACTTTAACTGAATTCTGGTTCAATATAACTAAGAATATAAACAGGACGATCAAATAGCTTTTGAGAGAGCTGGGAAGTTTGTACTACTGTTTAATAACACTACAGAATGGACTGCTTTGTAGAGCCAGGCCCCAGTGGCTCAACCCTGTAAACCTAGCTATTTGAGAGGCTAAGATCTGAGGATCATGGTTTGAAGCCAGGCTGGGCAGAAAAGTCCATGACACTCTTATCTCCAATTAACCACTCAAAAAACCGGAAGTGGCCGGGTGCTGGTGGCTCACGCCTGTCATCCTAGCTACTCAGGAGGCTGAGATCTGAGGATTGCAGTTCAAAGCCAGCCTGGGCAGCAAAGTCCATGAGACTCTTATCTCCAATAAACCACTAGAAGACCAGAAGTGCCGCTGTGGCTCAAGCGGTAGAGCGTAGGGACAGTGCCCAAGGCCAGAGTTCAAGCCCCACGACAACAAAAGAACAAAACAAAACTGGAAGTGTAGCTGTGGTTCAAAGTGGTAGTGCGCTAGCCTTGAACGGAAGAGCTCAGGGACAGTGCCCAGGCCCTGAGTTTAAGCCCCACAACTGACAATAAATAAATAAGTAAATAAATAACTGCTCTTTAAAGGTAAGAGTATGTTTCTAAAACTTTTTAAAAATGAGCACTGAAATATTCATAAAGAAGTGCTAGACTTCTCTGATGTGTCACAAAGGAACCAGAGGGTCCGTGAGGCTGGGGACTCCCATTTTCAAGTTTTAAAAATAGGAAGCAAGGGCTGGGAAGGAGGCTCAGTGGTAGAGCGCTTGCCTTGCATGCCTGAGGCCCTGGGTTCAATTCCTCAGCACCACATAAACAAAAAGAAAAAAAGCCAGAAGTGGCGCTGTGGCTCAAGAGGTAGAGCGCTAGCCTTGAGCTGAAGAGCTGAGGGACAGCGCCCAGGCCCAGAGTTCAGGCCCCATGACCGGACCCCCCAAAAAATAAAAGGAAGCAAGCTAGCAATAGTGGCTCATGCCTATAATTGTAGCTATTCAGGAGGCTGAGATCTGAGGATCATGGTTCAAAGCCAGCCCAGGTAGAAAAGACTGAGACTCCTACCTCCAATAAACCACCAGAAAACCAGAAGTGGCGCTGTGGCTCAAGTGGTAGAGCGCTAGCCTTGAGCTGAAGAGCTGAGGGATGGTACCCAGGCCCGGAGTTTAAGCCCCACGACCAACACACACAAAAAGAAGTAACTTGGAAGGTAGAGGCAGATCATCAGTGTGAGGCCAGTCCTGGCTACAGAGGAAGCCTGTGTCTCAAAAACCAAGACAAAAAATCAGAAAGGGCCAGTGCAGTCCAGTCCACCACTACGATACATGATGGACAAGCTCCCTGGCACAGGAACGTTCTACTCGTTCATGACATGTGGACACAAAGCAAGGCTATGAAAAAGCATACTACCAACCAACCATCCTTGATGTGCAGTGAAACCACCCAACTAAAATAAGCTGTGTCTGTGAAGACACCCTGCATCCACATAAGTCTTTCCTATTGATGAATGGTTACACTTAAGAACTGTCTCCTTGGCCGGGCACCGGTGGCTCACACCTGTCATCCTAGCTACTCAGGAGGCTGAGATTTGAGGATCGCAGTTCAAAGCCAGCCTGGGCAGGAATGTCCGTGAGACTCTTATCTCCAATAAATCAGTAGAAAACCAGAAGTGGTGCTATGGCTCAAGCGGTAGAGTGCTCACCTTGAGCTGAAGAGCAGAGGGACAGCATCCAGGCCCAGAGTTCAAGCCCTACCACTGACAAAAAAAGAATTGTCTCCTCCAAGGAGGGGTGACTGTGCTTCCGTGTGGCAGCCGTCCCTGCTGGCTGCCAGGGCCGCCCCTGGCCACACACCGGCTGCTCCCGTGGGCACCACAGCACTTACCTCCTTGGCACTTGTAAAGGCAACACCAGAAAACGCATATCTGTCCACAACAAGGGTCACACCTTGGCTCAACTTCTCCTTCATCAATGGCCTGAAAAACAGAATACTCCTGAGCCCCAGAACTGATTTGTATCTTGTATCTTCATGCTAATTGTCCTAATGGTGCAATTCATGCATGCTTTTTTGTTTGGGGTTTTTTGTGTCCATTCTGAGGCTTGAACTCTGGGCCTGTCCCTCAGCTCTTCAGCTCAAGGCAAGCACTTGAGCCATAGCACCACTTCCAGTTTTCTGGTGGTTAATTGGAGATAAGAATATCTTGGACTTTCCTGCCAGGGTTGGCTTTGAACTGCAATCCTCAGATCTTAGCCTCCTGAGTAGCTAGGATTACAGGCATGAACCACTGGCGCAAAGTGCACATAATTTGTGTGTTTGTGTGTCTCAGCCATGGGGCTTGAACTCTGGGCCTGTGTGCTGTCCCTCAGCTCTTCAGCTCAAGGCAAGTGCTCTACCACTTGAGCCACAGCGCCACTTCTGGTTTTCTGGTGGCTTATTGGAGGTAAGAGTCTCAAGGACTTTCCTGCCATGGATGGCTTTGAACCATGATCCTCAGATCTCAGCCTCCAGAGTACACAAGATTACAGGCATGAGCCACCAGTGCCTGGCAGGATTTTTTTTTACACTGTATTTTCATTTAAAATAAGATGCAGTGTGTTTTTCCCTGGGCACTACACTCGCAGCAGAACTCAGCAGGGCTAACCTCACTAAGTAGGGGCAAGCCCAGCTAAAGCTGTGACAGAGGCGCCCTCAGCTGCCTGACTCAAGGGGCGAAGGCAGTGGGGGACAGGGAGAGGGGCACCAGGAGCGGCCAGTGATGCTTCCAAGATGGACAGAAGGTTAAGGATGTCCTCAACAACACAACCACAACTATCATCCCCAAGGCACTGAAATCCAGATGTGCACACACACGGGGCCTGACGTCAACAGATAGGCTAACAGCCCATCTCACTGGAAACCTTCCAGTGACAGACAAAACTACAGTTGCCTGGCCTCTGAGCAAGGGGTAGAGGCAAAGCAGAAATGGTCATAAAACCCACTTCATAGGACTAACTCAACATGGGCCACAGACATAAATGTAAAGTACATCGTGCCAAAAGAAAACAAGAAGAGGGGCTGGGAAGATGGCTCAGTGGTGGAGTGCTTGCCTTGCATGCATGAGGCCCTGGGTTCAATTCCTCAGCACCACATAAGCAGAAAAAGCCGGAAGTGGCGCTGTGGCTCCAGTGGTAGAATACTACTAGCCTTCAGTTGAAGAGCTGAGGGACAGCACCCAGGTCCAGAGTTCAGGCCCCACGACCGACCAAAAACAAAAACAAAAGAAAACAAGAGTGCTTGCCTTGCATGCATGAGGCCCTGGGTTCGATTCCTCAATACCACATAAGCAGGAAAAAGCCAGAAGTAGCCTGTGGCTCAGGGGTAGGGCACTAGCCTTGAGCTGAAGAGCTGAGGGACAGCACCCAGGTCCAGAGTTCAAGCCCCATGACTGACAAAACAAAACAACAACAGTGGCTCACACCCATAATCCCAGCTACTCAAGATGAGATCTGAGGCTCAAGGCTCAAAGCCAGCCCAGACAGAAACGTCTGTGAGACTCATCTCCTATTAACCACTAAAATTCAGAAGTGGAGCTGTGACTCATGTGATAGAGCACTAACCTTAAGCACAAAATGCTCAAGGACAGTGCCAGGCCCAGAGTTCAAGCCCCAGGACTAACAAGATATAGAAAAGTCTCATGGACTTTCCTGCCTGGGCTGGCTTGGAACCCTAACCTTCAGATTTCAGCCTCCTGAATAGCTAGGACTACAGGTGTGAGCCTGTTCCAGTATCAGTACTACATACTGTGCAGTCCAGTAGATTACCCCTGTATCAGTACCCAGCTAAAATAAAAAAAATCTCAAGGTACTGGGCTGGGAAGGCGGCTCAGTGGTAGAGTGCTTGCCCCACATGCATGAGGCCCTGGGTTTGATTCCTCAGCACCACATACACAGAAAAAGCTAAAAGTGGCACTGTGGCTCAAGTGGTAGAGTGCTAGCCTTAAGCAAAAGAAGCTCAGGGACAGTGCCCAGGCCCTGAGTTCAAGCCCCAGGACTGGCAAAAAATAAATTCTCAAGATGCAAGAATAGGAAAACAAACATTACTGAAGGGCGAAGTTCGTGACCGACCACTAATGAAAAAGAACTCCAATAAAAATGGCCTTTAGCTGACACTTCATCCAAAATAAACATATAAACTTCTACGTTCGTTAGAACGAGAACCCAGGTGACAGGGACTGAGGTCCATGATACTCCATTTCCAAATTGGCCAGCAAAATGCTGAGCTGGAGGCATGTCTCCAGTGATAGAGCAGGAACTACAGACAAGCCGGGGTCCAAGCCCCAGTCAGGTGCACGTGCCATGTTCACACCCACACAAACGAGATGAAACGCCACCATGCCCCTTCAAGATCGGCCAACATCTGGAAGCCAAGGGCCCGTGAGGATATGGATTACACGTAACTTGTGGGAATATAAAATACGCCACTTTGGAAGACTAAACACGCCATGCAATCCATCGATAGCTTTATTCATGATTGCAAAACCTTGGAACCAAGACATCCTTCAGTAGCTAAGTTATAAGCTGTACTCCAGTGAAATACTAAGAAGCATTCAACAGAAATAAATTCTCAAGTGATGAAATGACGTAAGAAAAATGAATACAAATCAGCTGGCAAATCAGCAACTTGCGCCAGGCAAGGTGGCTCACGCCTGAAATCCTAACTGCTCAGGAGGCTCAGATCTGAAGATGGAGGCCTGAAGCCAACCTAGGCAAGAGAGTCCATGACTCTTATCTCCAATTAACTACCAAAACAGCAGGAAGTGGAACTGTGGCTCAAGTGGTAGAGTACCAGCCTCGAGCTACCAAAGCTCAGAGACAGTGAGGTACCCAGGGCCTGAGTTCAAGCCCCAGGACTAGCAAAAAAAAAAAAAGTTAAAAAGGCAGCAATCTGTGCAGAAGAGATGGACAGTGATGCAGACTGAGGTCTGACCACTATTTATAAAGTACAACCAGGCATATTCTCCTTTTCAAATTAAGACATCTGAGTCATATGACTTTTTTCAAAGCTCTCACAGAAAGTCAACAATTACCTCTATAAATTCTAGATGTATAAAATATAATAAAAATGGTCTCTTGTTCACCACAAATGTGGACTGAGGAAAGCCACTCAATGCAAGACAAAGAACTAAGTCTGGAGACTACAGAAGGAGCACAGGGGCAGGTGAAATGCACTCCCAGCACCCTCTCCCGGGAGCCGTCTCCTGCTCCACAGGGTCTGCAGGCAGGCAGAGGTGTCCAGGGAACTGGATGCCATGATCCTTCACATTAAACAACATCCACACAGACTGGGAGCTGGTCTCACTCCTGTAATCCTGGCCACTCTCCTAGGATATGAGCATCATGGTGCCAAGCCCGACAGGCAGGAAAGTCTGTGATTTTTTTTTTGGCCAGTCCTGGAGCTTGAACTCAGGGCCTGAGCGCTGTCCCTAAGTTTCTTTTGCTCAAGGCCAGCACTCTACCACTTGAGCCACTTCTGTTTTTTCTGCTTATGTGGTGCTGAGGAATCAAACTCAGGGCCTCACGCTAGGCAAGAACTCTACTAAGACACCTTCCTAGCCCCTCTGTGAATCTCTTATCCCCAATTAACCACCAAAAAGCCAGAAGTGGAGCTGGGCTCAAGTGATAGAGTGACAGCCTTGAGCAAAAAACTAAGGGACATGAGCTCAGGGAGTGGCTCAGATGGCATAATGCTAGCCCGTAAGTCAAAGTTTCAGGTAATGAGTCTCGATCTTAAACAACAACAAAAAAAAATCAACGTTCATGCTAAGGGGGCAGTGCCCAGGCCCTGAGTTCAAACCCCATTACTGGAGCGCAGGCCCACAAAAACTACAAAAACACTACTACAGGAAGCCCCACATGCGTTATCTACTTGTTGAAAGGGTAAACAAAATCATGTGAAAGGATACACCAGTCACTTGATACATAAAATATTAATGGAGGCAATATCTAGTATGATAAAAGGAGGTGAAGACAGTAAATGCTAATACACTGATTTATGTTCCAGTACTGGTTATCAACCCTAATGACATAAATTAACGGGAAGCTAGGTGTTGTGCTGTATGCACATGATCCCAGCACTTGAGGCTGAGACAAAAGAATTTAAAATTTCAGGCCAACCATACACAGCAAGATGCTATTTAAAAAAAAATGTGTTTAAGCAGGGCACCAATGGCTCACGCCTGTACTCCTAGCTACTCAAGAGGCTGAGATCTGAGAATCATGGTTCAAAGCCAGCCCAAGTAAAAAGGAGGCTCTTATCTCCAATTAACCTCCAGAAAACCAGAAGTGGAGCTGTGGCTCAAACTGGTAGAGTGCTAGCCTTGAGTGATAGAGCTCAGGGGCAGCGCCCAAGCCCTGAGTTCAAGTCCCATGACCGCCCCCAGCCCCCAAATTCTTAAGGAAGGAGGACACGCAGTGATTTTTCTCGCTGGAGGCTGTGGGGCCTCGACTCACAGGGCTGCTGAGTACAGAGCCTCTGGGCCCTGAGCCACCCTGCCCCTTCCCTCCGTCCTGCAGCACTCAGCCCTGGCCAGGTCGGGCGGGGGTCTGTGTTTACACTTGCTCCCAGCGGTTTGCGGAGAAAAGCAGGTGCACGGAGTGATCCTCCAGGTCACTTTTTCTTTCCAGGTAGGAACTCAGAAGTTTGCCGATTTCAGTTGATCTTTCTAGAACAAAGAAAAGCCTGCTCAAGTTAGGCTGCCCGTGTGAGTGAGCGCTCGGCTGACGCCCAATTTCTCACTCTGGATTCATTCTGCCAGATCCCCAGAGGCCACGTCCTTTGGAGGGGTCTCGGGGCAGCGGCCACGCCGGGGAGAGGCTGGGCCTGGGGCGGCGGCCACGCCGGGGAGAGGCCGGGCCTGGGG